TTTTCAAGGTCTCTCCCACCCTCTTCCTCAAATTCCATCATGACGTGTCACAGGGTGGGTCTGCTTTCATCTGCTGTAGTGAGAATTTCATTTTGATTAGGCCACTTAAAATGTAATTTTTTCTTTGTAAACATTGAGAAATAGTCTTGAAAACATTAAAAAACATTTCCTACTCATCATTGTTTTTAGACAGGCATTAAAATCTTGTTGGGGTCCCTTGACTGACAGACTAAGAGGCCTTTTCTCCAGCTTCCCCACACGTTTCCATTTGTGTGACTTAGTAGGAGAACAACTCGAATCTTCCAGTTCACCTCCTGAATTATTCATTTCTATGATGACATTTTTAATTTCCAAGAGGTCTTTCCTGTTCTATGACTGTGCATAACTGTTCTGTTTCAGATGCCATTATTGTTTATGTCTTTCAGATAAGATGGGGACCAGTGGAAGGACACCCATAGGTGGTCTGTTTATCTGTTTCTGTGATATCAGGAACCTTTCCCCTCATTGCACTGGGTCATGATTACATTTCTGTTTGTCATTTCTCCTAATGGCTCATCTCCCACCTAACTGTGCCAGAGTCACAGAGCCAGGGTCCTACTCTTGCTCTGCATTCTGTCTCCACACTCTAATTCTGATGCAGTGGAGGTCTTGAAACCCATGCAGGATGATGAACTTGACTGTGGTCTGGATAGCTAAGGTACACTGCCCCTTGATGTCCTCCTGAGCTCTGAGCTGAGCAGCCTCCTATCACAGAACATTCTGGAACATTGCAACAGTTCACTTGCATGGAGTTCAGAGTCACAGTGAAGCAGGATAGTAAGAAGCAAGGAAAACTGGGCAATGGAATGGGGAAACTGCACAGGAAAACTGAAGAAGGCAGAACAGTCTGAACAACCTACAGCTAGTGGGTGAATTGCAAGACCTTATCTCACTTAACCAAAGACATGTGAGAACAAATCATTTGTATGTCTCCTTTTTAATAGGAGAATACATAATGTAAATCACTCTGGCTGTAATATAAACAACTGAGACTCAGTTAATAACATTTTTACCAGATGAACCTAAAGACAGATGAGGTCAGGGGGACAGATAAGGTCAGGGGGACAGATAACAACAACAACAAAACAAATTAGAGCCAGACAGAACCAAGATAAAATTAAAACAGTGGAACTGACCACAGGATAATCCCCAAGCCCCCTATGTGCTCATTTTGATGCATCAGCGTATTAAAAACACCCATGGGAAGCTGATGAATATTCTGCTGAAATGCTCCCCTAAGATTCTCACCCAGAGAAGAGAGATAAAAACCCTCTAGACAGAGACTGGGGAAGCTCGCTCTAGAGCCCACCCACACCTGCCTGTCAGACATGAACTTTCTTCTGTCCTTCTGAGCTCTAAGGTGCCCTTGGTATTTTCAGCTGGGAGATCAGTGGGCATCAGCAGCTTGTCTCAGGCTTATCCGCCATCCTGACTCTAAGGTCCCCTTTTCCCCTGACTCTCCGGTGAGCTGACTGCAGCCTGACCTTGGCTCACTCCTTTCCTGTAACACTCCTAGGACCCAGAGCAGCCCCACCTAGGTCTCTCCAGTTACTTCTTCTATCCTAAGTCCTTCCTTAGTGTCACTGTCCCAACTTTAATAAACATTTCAAAATCCCTTGGACTTGGCTTGTGGAATCTCATCCAGAGGAAGTCAAGCTCCACTCACCACTCACCACACACCACACACCACACACCACGGGCTGTTCTCAGGAAGAACCGCTCAGGCCCAGGCCCATCCAGCACCAACAGCTGCCAAGAAACCCAGTGAGAGTGAGTCATCAAGGCTCTGAGAGAAAACGCCCTGCCTTCACTGAACCTCCACCACCCAGAACCCCTCTGAGTCTCCTTTCCTCTGTCTCCCATGAGGATCCCATATCGAGTACCTTCGAGTAAATGGATTTATACTTGACCTTCTAAGTAGATCCCATGGTCACTGCCCAAGACATGTTAAGCGATCCTGTACCCATAGTTACCATCATTCTGTTGATGGGAGCATTTAGAGACATTCCATCCTTTTGCTTTTACAAAACCAATACAAGAAACATCCCTGAATAAATATTCTTGAGGACATGTGTGATTATCTTCTTAGGACAAATTCCTAGAGGAGGAACTTCTGTGTCAAAATGTCAGCACATTTAAATTGCTGAGACCTTTTACAAAAGCATCCTTCAGGACTTTTGTCCCAGTTCTCAACCCCTTCAACCTTCACAACAGGATGTGTTCCCCACCCTTGGGCTGAAATGCTCATCATGTTCCTTCATCTTTGCCAAATTGATAGATGTTTGGACATTCGTGCTCTCACAGAACATCAGCATCAGACAAGGACATCCCGAGACCACGGCGACTTGAGACACAACAACACCACACTGAGTGTTGTCTTAGCACAGACAGAAATGGGACCCGGGGCAGCTCACACACTCCAAGCAGCTCCTGGGCCTGTGAACAGAAGGGAAGGCAGCGTCTTTCCTGTCACCCCTCACCCTCGCTCCTGTCTGCCAAGTCCCAAGGTGTTTCCTGAGATGCCCAGTCACAGACTTGCCCCCACATCCTGATGAGGGCAATCTAGAGGGGCCCCTGCGCCCACAGACCCTCCTGAGACGGTGGTCTAGAGCCCATGTCTGGGGCACCTCCTGTCTCACTCCCTCTGCTAAAGGTGCCACGACCTGGGGGATGCTCCCCCCCATAGCAGCAACGCACACAGCCCCCTGTCTGTCCCACGTGCCTCCTCCAGGTCTTTGGCAGAAGAACACGGGCACACGTTACCTTCCTCTGTCAACATTTTTATGTGCCTTTGAGTTTGGTGGTGGGCATGAGTTTGTATCTACAGAGCTTGTGTTTCACATAGAAAGGTTTTATATTTTCCTTCATGATTTTTCATCTTTTGGTCTTGCTTAGAGAATTTTTCATTCCACAATTATAAAACCTTCATATATGTTTATATGTTTTCATCTAGGGAAGAGGCATCCAAGGGTAAAGGGAAACAGAATTGCTTGAATTCTGGGGGAGAGAGGGAAAAGACATATTGGTAAGGAATCTATGTTGAAACTCCAAAGTTTACACCTTTCTCTTTACAGCTTTTTAATTACATACGGGGCCTGCGAGAATGTGGTGTGTGTTGTGCTCACACATATTTATTTCTTGAATTAATAAAGATTTACGTGCCTGCTGATGCCTCCAGGTTCACAAAAACGACACCAAGGGTCCCAATGTGATGTGCACAAGGACCAACTCCAGTGAGGAACGTTTTTTGATCATTTACAACCTTAAGGCCTTACATCACATTGTTGTTGATGTCTATACGCTCTAGTTGTTCAGTGGATATTAACTAATCTTTCGTGGGTCTGCTGTGTTTTGAGGATGTATCTAGGACCCTCACAGACAAATGAAGTCAGCAGACTTGTATAGAAATTAATATAATATTGCCCTGGCTGTTGTAGCTCAGTGGATTGATCTCGGGCCTGCGAACCAGATAATCGCAGTTCGATTCCCAGTCAGGGCACATACCTGGATTGCAGGCCAGTTCCCAGCAGGGGACGCACAAAAAACAACCATACATTGATGATTCTCTCCTTCTCTCCTTCCCTTCCCTTCTAAAGATAAATAAATAAAATCTTTTTTAAAAGTTGCAAACATTAAAAAAAATTAATATAATATTGATCACTAATTATAATTGAAACATAAAAAACATTAAAAAAAGAAGATAAGTATGTCTTGAATCCATGATACAAATTGATTGATTTCTTAACTGCCCTTAATGAAAATGGGGAATAAAAACCAAAATATCTCCCGTGATGACCAGGAAAGTGCACAAACACACTCCTGCTACATTCCCAAGTGTCGAGAGCCCAGGAAAATGACCTGTGAGGGCTGAGTCAGCCTCTTCTTTAAGGAACAGCAAGTTCACTTCAGAGAATTAGAGACACAGAACCTGTGATGACTGAAGTGTGGTGAACGGCGAACACTCTCTCAAAGGAACATGAGCTTCTCCCTCAAGGAAAGTCAAGGAGCAGTGGACACCTGACAGCACTTGCTGTCTGGATGGAACGGAAGCTCTCAGAGGAAACCCAGGGTTTTGGCAAACGTGTGTCTCCCCACAGCAGCCAGACAGCTTCCCAGAGCTGACGACCTTTTCCAGTGGGGTCTGCGGTGACGTCAACAACTGTGATTTTTGATGATGTGTCATTAAATGCACCAACACTGGGAGATCTCTATCATTTAGTGAAACAATGCATCACTTTCCAATAATCCTGCATCGGTACAAGAGCCACTGCAGTAATGTAACAGAATAGGAAACACTCAGTGGTGTAGTTTCAGGTTCCACTTTGCAAAGAGCTTTTCAGAAACTACCACTTGTGTAGCTTTAGTGAACAGTCAAAGCTGAATACCCACACTTATCTGAAAAGGCTATTAAAAATGCCCCTCCTATATATTTCTGACTCTGTAATTTCTGTTAACATATCAAAAGTTATTAATATTATTGTCAATGAATTAATTTCTTCAAAGATTTATTTTTTGTATGATAAATATTGATAGCTATAACTCACACGAACAAAATTATTTTGGGGATCCACCGTGTTTCCTAAGACTGTGTACATGTTCTGACACCAAAATGTTGAGAGTCGCTGAATAGAAGAGCCCGGGGGGGCCAGGGCTCCAGGAGACAGCGGGACACAGCTCTCTGTGTAGGGGGTGGGCTGGTGCAGAGTCTCTGGTCCCCAAGCTAAGTCCTCAGGGTGTCAGCCTGAGGACCGAGTCTGGGGCGGGGACTCTCAGGGCTGGGGTGCGCCCATTCTCTCTGGGGTTTCCCCTCTCTTTCTCCTGGGTCCTTCTGCCTGGATACTTCTGACTTTCTGCTGTCATTCTGGTTTGTGTGTCCCAACTCCACACGAGCCAATCAGCGTCGCCGTGGTTTGGAGTATAAAGTCCTACCACAGCACCCGAGTCCTTTCTCCTTAGAAGCTCAGGGTCTGGGCCATGGGGCCCCGAGCCCTGCTCCTGCTGCTCTCGGGGGCCCTGGCCCTGACCGAGACCTGGGCGGGTGAGTGCGGGGTCGGGAGGGAAGGGCCTCTGTGGGGCAGGAGGGAGGGGACCTGGCTGGGGCGCAAACTCGGGGATGCAGATGCTCTTCCCAGACCCAAGACCCCGGACTCCCAACCCCTACTTCTATCCTCCTCTCCTCCCGCCCCCACCCCTCTTCTCAACCACCGAATCCTTAGCTGTTTCCCGGGCACTAGGGCCCCCACATCATACTCAACACGTGCGTCCTTCCCGTCCCCAGGCCCACACATCCTGAGATATTTTTGCACCTCTATGTATGGACCCGGGAAGTTCCGGCACGTCATAGTCGGATATGTGGACGACACGGAGGTCATGTGGTTCGACAGCAACCACCCGAACCCGGTGGCACAGCCACGGGTGCCATGGATGGAGCAGCCGTGGGTGCAGGAGGAGGATCCAGATTTTTGGGAGGAGCAGACTCGGGCCGGCAAGCAGTGCGCACAGTTTTCCCGAGCAAAACTGAACAACCTGCGCGCCTACTACAACCAGAGCGAGGACGGTGAGCCCCGCGCGCCCGGATCCGGGCACAAACCCCATCCCCACAGAGGGGCAGGAGTCGCAGGGAATCTGCGGGACTGAACGTCCCCCCAGGGCTGCGGGATCCGCCCTGCGCCCAACCCGGGAGGAGCCCGCGGCGATTCTAACCCAGTCTTACTTTCACTCAGTTCGCGTTCAATCCCCGAGGGACGGGTCGGGTCCCCACCTCTGTCCTCCAGCGGGACTAAGTCAGCGGGGCTGACTTCAAGGCGGGGTCAGGGTCTCATACCTTTCAGATGACTTCTGCCAGTGTCCTGGGGTCAGGCGGGCGCTTCCTCAGCGGGTACGCTCGGTACGCCTACGATGGCACCGAAACCTTCACCCTGAACTTGGAGCTGAGTTCCACCAACGAAGCCAACAAGACCGTCCAGATCAGCGTCGGGCGCGATCTCTTGCATCAAGATGATGTGGAGAGTTGGAGGCCGCTCCTGGAGCACACTTTCCCAAACCGGCTCCGCCTGCTCCTGAAGAAGGGGGAGGAGACCCTGCTCCGAGCAGGTACCAGGGCGCGGTCCTCCCGGTGGAGGGGGTCTGTGGGCTGGGGCGGCTTCCTACAAGGAGAGGAGGAAAATGGGGCAGTGTCAGAATGTCCCTCATGCTCGAGAGAGGGAAGAGGCTCCCAGGTTTCCTTATTCTGTGACTCACCCGCGGGCCCAGCTTCCTCTAAAGGACAGTAAGGGACCCAGCCTCTCCCTGAAACACTCACAGCGGTTCCCTCACACCCTGCAGCTCCTGGGGCACCAGGAGGCTCTCCCTGGTTCTGGAACTGAGACCTTCTCTGGAGACCTGACTCCAGGTTTGCTGAGTCATCAGCTTCCAACTGAGTCTCTGTCTTCCTTTAGGGACCTAGACATACCTACCCTAGGTTCTCACCCTGATTCTGGAACTTTCCAGAAATTGGAGATTATCCCAGTTGCCTCTGTCCAGGCTGGTGTCTGGGTAGTGCACTCCCTTCCCCCACTCTCACTGTCCTGTCCACTCTCAGGGTGGTCACATGAGCACTGCTGGAGTGTCCCATGACCATGCAAAGTCCCTGAATTTTCTCCCCCTCCCCTCAGTCCCTCCAAAGACACACGTGACCCACCATCCCATCTCTGACCAGGAGGTCACCCTGAAGTGCTGGGCCCTGGGCTTCTACCCTGCTGACATCACCCTGACCTGGCAGCGTGATGGGGAGGACCTGACCCAGGACATGGAGCTTGTGGAGACCAGGCCTGCAGGGGACGGGACCTTCCAGAAGTGGGCAGCTGTGGCCGTGCCCCCTGGAGAGGAGCAGAGATACACATGCCATGTGCAGCACCAGGGGCTGCCTGAGCCCCTGACCCTGATATGGGGTGAGGAGGGGGTGTGGGCACAGAGCCTCTCTCTCCTCAGGGTGTCCCTGAGCAGGGGCAGGACTCAGGCCTCAGGCTGACCTCTCACCTTCCCCTCTCAGAGCCCCCTCCTCAGACCACCATCACCATCATGGGCATTGTGGGCATTGCTGCTGCCCTGGGTCTCCTTGGAGCTGTGGCTGCTGGAGCTGTGATGTGGAGGAGGAAGTGCTCAGGTGGGCAAGGGGTGGGGCTGAGTTCCCTGTCCCCCTGGGGGTCAAGCCCAGGTGGAAGTGTGCTCTGCCTGGTTAATGGGCATCGTGTCCTCACACAGGTGCTTGTCCATCTGGGGCCTGTTTTCTAACACTGACTCTTTAGTGAGGCCCGTGGGAAAGTGAGGGACACATTTATCACCTGATGGTTCTAGTGATGAGGACTGATTCCCAGCTGTCACAGGTCAGAGGGGAAGGTCCCTGCTGAGGAGAGTCCACAGGGCTGTAGGTTCAGTCCCAGCACATGTACTTTCTCTGAATGTCCTGATCCTACCCTGGGTGTTCAGTCACAGTTCTGGAACCTTCTCTGTGCTTCAGGAGTGTGGGGCTCCTATAGGTTCACAGGACCCAGCCTCCCCCCTGACTTCTCACAGAACATTTTCTTCCCACAGGCAGAGGCAGGAAGAGCTACACCAAGGCTGCCTGTAAGTCTGGGTGTTGGGAGGTGACATCTGGGACCCTTGGGAGAGTGTGGGCTGGAGTCTGTGAGGGGGGCTCCCCCACCCCATAACTCTGCTGTGTGTCTTCCTCAGGCAGTGACAGTACCCAGGGCTCTGATGTGTCTCTCACAGCTCCTAAGGGTGAGACCCTGAGGGGAGGAAGTGCGGGACATTGGAACCAAGGGTATAGCTGGGTTTTGGGGACTCCCAGAGTGGGATATTATAAGCATGTCATGGCTCTGGGAGAATGTGACACTTCTGAGACTGACCTGAGTTTGTTCATATTTACTTTCTTTCCCAGTGTGAGAAAGCTGTCTTGTAGGGGACTTGGCACTAAAGCAGGCACTGCAGCCTCCCCTTGGGGCTTTAAGGATCCATGACTGCTGTTTCTGCAACTGGCATCACAATACATCTGCATCCTTATCAGCTTCATTGGAGGAGCTGGCCACCAGGTCACCCCCCTGAAGGGACCTGTGTTGTCTCCCCTGGGGACTGACCTGTTGTAGCATTGCTGTGGTTTTGCCAACCCATCCTGGTCTTTTCTCAGTGGGGTCTCCTTGTTGCTCCTTTGTTGTTGTTGCTTCAGGGGAACCTTGTCCCACCAGGACCTGGTTTCACAGGGACGTGAGTGTCACCCGGGCCTTGTCATGGCTCCAGGACTGTGCTCAGTGAGGGCTTCCTGTGGACACATGAGCCTGGGCTCATCCTGGGTCTGGCCCACAGCCCCTGTGTTTTGGGTATTTGTTGTTTCTTTGTTTTTGTAGATATTGTACCTACTTTTCTTTTCTTAATTAACTTATGAGGGTTTTTTTTTTTTACTAAATGTATTAGGCTGGCTTGGTTACTGGGACCCTGTAGGTTTCCCTTGTATATTTCTATGATATTGTACAATGAGGAGTCACTCAACCAGTGGTTTTCGAGTCCTGGGTAAATGACGCTCCATTTTTACATCTGGGATCCAGACATTCCTTGGAGGTATTTTGGTTTCGCGTCCAGATGAACTCAGTAAAGCAACTACAGCAATAAAGCAAGTCACACAGATGTTTTGGTTTCCCTGAGCTAATCATGTTAGGCTTATGATACATGTAGTCTACTAAATCTTAAATAGTATTATGCCTAAAAACAAATGTACATGCCTTTATTAAAATATATTTTGTTAATCAAAATGCTAACTATCATCTGACCCTTTAGTGAGGTGTAATGCTTTTGCTGGTGGGAAATCTTACCTTCAGTTGTAAAACAAACACAGCCTGGGTGGGGGGTTCGGTTGGAGAGTCACCCCACACACCACAAGGTTACGGGTTGGATCTCCATTAAGGGCACATACCCAGCTGGGGTTGAATTTCCGCTCAGGCCTGATACAGGAGGAAACCAGTCAATGTTTGTCTCTCTCACTCTCTGCTTTCTCCTCTGTAAAATCAGTAGCAACAATCCTGGGTGAGAACTAAAATTAAAAGTGTGGTCTCTGTGAAGTGCAGTAGCAGCTGCTTACCTGTTTGTCAGTGAACTGAGCACAGGCCGAATGCCCGGCCTCACAGAGCACACATTGTGTGGCAAAGGGACAGACTGTGCCCTGTGACCACAGCCAGTGAGGAAAGAGTTCCTGGGAGCAGGTGGGAGGTGCTGTGGAGAAGGGGACCCACCTGGGTTTGTTGGGAGAGACAGGAGGCCTGTTAGAATTAAGGGGGTCAGGGGGGGCCTCATGGGAAGGTGGCCTTGGAGGAGAGAGGAGAAGGACATGAGCCATTGCCCAGGAGAATGTCTGGGCCAGACTCCTTCCAGGCAGGGAGCCTCCCACGCAGACACCTTGGGGAGGGAGCCTCTGTGTGGTTTGGGAACAGCCAGGAGGCCAGTGTGACTGCAGCAGAGTCATTGGGAGGGGTCAGGTTCTGGCCCCAACGTGCAGACCTGGGGGAGGTTGGAAGAGACAATTCTGAGCAAAGACAGATGGAGTAGGACTGCCCTTTCATTTTATTTTATTTTTTGTTACAGAAATGTTTATTTTAAAATTAGGCATATATATATATGTGTGTGTGTGTGTGTGTGTGTGTGTGTGTGTGTGTGTGTGTGTGTGTATATATCAGAAGTGATTTAGATTAAAAGCTCCAGGGAAAGCAGTTACCAGTAAGTGTTACTCTATCTACACCTTCACCATATATTAAGCCATTTCCAGTCACTTTAACTTAATAAACTTACCATGAGGTGTGGAGACAACCCAGGTGGGACAGACTCTGTGTCATATGACAAGGGAACCACACAGCTTTCCAGTGATGTTCCCTGTGACCACCTGTGCTCCATGCACTATTCAGGGTCTTCCTGCACATCTGATGTGACCTTATAGAGCCTCTGACTGTGGCTGGTGGAGTCCCCTGATTCTAACCCAGTGTTGCTTTGTTGACTAGAAGCCCCTGCAAACTTCCAGGCCCCCCTCATGTAGACATCACAGGTGTCCCTCTGGTGGTTCAGAGAGCTGACCAACCAGAAGGTGAGAACACCTGCTTAAAGCAGGAACTAGCCCAGTGTCCACTGTCCTTAATTCACTGACAACCCTGCTCTCAATCTGTGCATGCTGAGTCCTAGAAGGTCATGGCTAGGAGCCCATGTCCTTTGTGGCTTATTCTGAGAGTTCCTCCTCAAGGGAGAGCCTTTGGGTCACAGGGTCAGTCTTGCTGCTGAGCTGAGAACAGAATCAGCAGACCAGGGACCAGCCAGGCAGGAGGGAAAGGTGTGGGGAAGCTCCCAGGGTTCCAGGCTGCAGGTGCTGGGTGTTCTGATGGGGCTGTGAGTGGTGGAAACAGTGGGAAGGAATTGGACACTGAATGCATTTGGAAGGTGGATTTCACAGCATTTCCTAGTGATTCAATCTGGGGTGTGGGAAAGGGGTCAAGGAGGACACCCCACATTTGTGCTGTGCCGGCAGAAAGATGGGGTTATATCAGCAGAGATGGGGAAGATGCTGGTAAGAGCATGTGTGGGGGAGGGGTGGGCATTTCAAGCGTTCAGCTGAAGAGAAGGTCAAGGTGAGATGAGTGTTAGAAACACCAGTGAGGGGTCAGGTTGGACAGATGAGTGTGGGGACCTTGAGGAGACATGTCTGGGCAGGAGACACAGGTGTGGAGGTGATGCTACAAAAATGACATTTAAATTCATAACCGTAAGTGTGGATGAGGCCACCAAGGGAGCCAGGACTGCAGAAGAGGACAAAACAAGGACCAGACACTACATTTCCCTGTCCCAACAGTGGGGACGTTCATCTTGGTGACTCGCCCAGGTTGGTGTTGGCCATGTTTCCCCGTCATACAGTCACCATTTAGTGACTGTCATTCATTAGTAATTTACAGAGAGATGTTCTGAGATTGTCCTGCTGTGCCCTTCACCACTTCTACAGTCGCCATTTTTAGCCCCTCTATTAACTTCCACCCAAGTCAGCGAAAATATGGTGGTTGTCCCATGTCAGCCCTGGACACTTATGAGTAGGGTGTAGAGTACAGCAGGGGAAAGTAAGAAGCAATATTGTCGTGACTATGTATGGTGTGAGATGGGTACTAGATATAATGGGGAGATTATTTAATAATATACATATATATATGTTAATCCCTCCGTTTCACAGCTGAAACTAATATAATATTGCATGCTAAGTATAATTGAAAAAATTTTAAATTAACCCATGGGCACAGACAACAGTGTGGTAATTGTGTGTGGGGAAGAGGTGAGCTGTGGGATGTGGAGAGAAGATACATGGTGATGGAAAGAAATAGAGCAAAAAAATAAAATAGTTGTTCTAAATTTTAAAAAAGTGCTAAGTTGACCAGTATGAGGTACCTGGGGATAGAGTTTGGACAAGAGAAGGAGCTGAAGGAACAGGCCCAGTGAGAAACACCATGAAGGGAGCTCCTGGCCCAGATGTTCCTGAACCGCAATGACATGTGACTCGAAACTCAGCTTGTCCCCAGGGAAGAGAGGACACTTTCTCAGTCCCCGTCCCCTGTTTCTCCTGAGGGCATCTCTGTAATGGCCACTGCTGTCCCCAGTCACCAGATGTGTCTGAGGGTGATCTGCATGGGACAAGTTTGCTCTACCTTACAGACACCCCAGGCTCCCCACACAGATGGTATCACTGACAGGAGAGGTGACATGATAGTGGCATCTCTGTGGGGAGGTCAGGACCACTCACTCTGTCCCTGTAACTGGGGTCAGGAGCCCCCCTGAATGACCTGTCCCTGCACAGAGCTCTGGAGCTCAGACCAGCCAGGTGGGGGCTCCCTGGAGTCCACTCCCAGGGCAGAACCAGGAGGGGTTAGGCCAGGAGGGACTGGGACCTGTGGGCAGTCCCTCCTGGGTGGGACTGTGCTGAGCCTGCCTGGTCCCGACTGCCTCTCCTTCCTGGGCTGGGCGGGTAGGAGGTGGGGAAGTGCTGGAGGTGTTTCAGGTGAGGCCAGACTCAGGAGGGTCCCTGAAGGTCCCTGTGCCCTGGAGTCCCCATCAGTGAGAGAAAGGAGTTGGTCCCTTGGGAACCTGGGTGCAGCCTTGTATGGCAGGAGCTACGGAGCTCCTCCACCCCATACAGAATTCCCCTTTTCTGAGACCTCCCGGGTTTTGGGTTGGGTGTGAGGGCAGGAATGTGAATTAACATGTACTATTTGCTTGTAACTTAAAAATCCAGATCACGAAATAAGACCCAATGACAGACACACATGCAGCACCAACAAGAGGACACAGAGAAGTGCCTGCCCTTCAGTGACCCACACACACACTTGTCCTCTTTCAAATCCCCCTGCAGGAGGTGCCAGGCTCTTAGGAATTTCTGCTGGGACATTGTTGCCCTCCTGTGGTTACTGTGTGTGTGAGTGTCACTCATGTTTCTAACTGAATGGGGACACCTCTTTGAACCCTCTTATCTGGAGGCAGGAGAGAAGGAAAAAGAATTTGGAGTCAGATGAAGACCCATTATTTTCCAAGCCTGCCAGAATGGGTGCATGTGGTGAAAATCATTAAATATGACATTTTTAAAAATAAAATGATGAATAAGACAATACATTCTGCAGTAGTTCAACAGTGTGCTTCATATTTGGAAATATCAATGTTTCTCTCTCATGTCAATGTTTCTCTTTCTCCCTCCCCTCTCTCTGAAGTCAATGGGGAAAAAAATGTCCTACAGTGAGGATTTTAAAAAGGTAAAAAGAAAAGAAAAAGTTGATTTAACAAGGTGGCCAGAAACACTGAGTTACAGGTGAGTTGATTTCCCAGGGCCACTGGGGTAAGGGTTGTAGAAGGTGCTAAGGGACATAGGCTGGAGGTTCCCACTGATTGGTCAGCACTAGGGTCAGGGGCCGTTGGTCATTGCTTCTGGTCCTAATGCAGCCATGGGGTCATTCTGCCTGGTTCAGACGTTCATTCCACTGCTCTCCCCAGAGTCTAAATCTTCATGAGTACATATTTGAACACATCAGATTTCCAACCACTTTCATCTCTGCAGACACCTGTCCACAGCCCTCGGTCCTGCACAGGTGGACTGGGTCCCCGCACACCTGGGTCAGGTGGACACCCTGGATGTTGGTCACCACACCTCAGAGAACCATAGCCTCTCCTGTTCTGGATCCCCTGTCACCTGGATCCCACATGTGCCTCTTTTTTTGCTTACCCCCATGTTTTTCCACTTTGTCCAGTAGTATTTCCCAAACAGAACGTGAGAAGTTACCTATAAAAACTCTAAAAACACAAAGAAACTGTAGGCTATCCTAGCCCTTATTCACATCTTGACAGGACATAGAACTCTGTGTTGGAAATATTTTTTTCTGCGGAAAGTGAGAGGCATTACTTCAACATCTTCTAGTCTCCGGGCCCATATTTGCTGCCTCTTGAAGTTTTCAAGGTTTCTCCCACCCTCTTTCTGAAATTCCAATGTGATGTGTCACAGTGGGGGTATGTTTTTATCTGCTGTACCAAGAATGTGATTGGGCTGTTCAAAATGTAATTTTTTATCTGTAAACTTTGAGAAGTATTCCTGAAAATGTTAACAATCAATTCCTACCCATTATTTCTTGACAGACATTATTAATTTGTTGGGATCCCTTGAGTGAGAAACTAATAGGTCTTTTCTCCAGCTTCCCCACACATTTGTGCAACTCAGTAGAAGAACTAAATGAATCTTCCAATTCTATTGAATTA